GTCAGCATATTGCCCCCAACAACAATCCGGGTCCTCATTTTACCCACCTCGGAAGGATGGAAGGCTGAGTCAACCCTGAGCCGGTGAGATTTGAACAGACGAACTGCAGTCAGCTGAAGTAGCCTGCAGTGCTGCATTTAACCACTGCGCCATCTTGGCTCTAGAGAATCGGTGATTCTTTAGTTTTAGAATGAGAATAAATGCGTACATTAGGGGAAAGTGCATGTTAAATATATATCTTCATCAGTCACTACTTTTAATGGTGTTAGGATTTTAACATCCCTTTGGTGGGATCAGTTGTATCATCCGGAGTGTAAATTTATCACAGGCAGGTCAATAACCAAGGTAACAGACTAAATAGATCCATTGGAAAAGGAAATGGCGGTCCACTCAATTGCCAATAAAACTAAGTCACCATTTACAACCAGGATTGCGTCAAAATTATAATGGAAGATTAACTTCTAAGACTGGAAGGGGTCCAGCGAACTACTGGGGGGAAAACAGAGCAAGGACAAGTCAAACCAGTGCTTTTGACATGGCTGAATTAAAGCAAACAGGATGACTAGCTGCTGATGTGACAAAAGCAAAAGTTGATGGTCCCAAGATAACGGGGCTCTGTGTTAGATTCCTGAATCAAGGCAAATCTGATGTTTAGAGCAGAAACGCCAACATACATGTGAGTTTAAGAAGTCTTAAAAAGCAATTCCCAACAAATTATTGTGGCAAAAATAAGTGGAGATAGACTGAACTATTTTTTTTTAAATCAGTGTATTACTGAAAATAGCTTACAAAATGGAAATTAGAAAAAAAATGTAAAAATTGGACAAAAGTGCACAGATAAATGTAAACTAGGAAATTTTTAGTTGTTTTCTTCCAGTACACATTTTTCAACAAAATGAAGCATGTTTTTGTTTTATAATTTCCTTTGCAATCATCACAATTCTAGGCATCGATTCTGGTTGAAGGGATGCTTGAATTAAATGTTCTGAGTCAGGTGATACTACAATTGAAACATGACTGACAAGTGTCTAAATCCTAAATAATCATTTCTTAGAAAGCTTAGAGGATGGTCATTTTGCCAGCTAATCAAACAACTTGTTCTACTAAGGCATTTTCACATTTGTATTATGCAAAATAGTTAGACTGTAACAATGGTTTTAAATGACATTTTGGTAATTATTCTGGTTTTATCCCTTCATTATTTTTTCTTGGTGTTTGTGCTTTAGCTGGTTAAATCTACTACTTAACAGCTTGAAGTGCATTTTATATGCCTTCATGGTTTTTTTTGACACTTGATAGACAATGGTCTGAAAACCTCATTAGCTATATGAAAGTGAGGTGACAGTAGAGTTTCAATTTCAATTTTATTTTAAAATCTGCATGCAAAATTCAATAATTTGAGCACTGGCCAGATATGTTTGTACATGCAGTAGATAAGTATACCTATAGGTGTACATATCCACCTGTGCTTTCAAAGACTAGTATGATCCTGGCTTCCAAAAGCAGTTTTCTGAAAGGTTGAAGAACTCCAGGAGAAAGAGATCTGACAGTGAGGTCTGGTGAGTTGGAGGGGCATGGTAGAAATGGAGATATGATATTTGAGGTAGAATAATATATCTGCCCCAAAATCCTGATTGATATATTAGTAACAATAATACAAATCTGTACTGGGAAAAACCATTTAATTTTGTTCCCATCCACAACAATCTCCAGTCCTCAACAATAATCTTTGCTACTATTACCATTTTTTTAAAAAAATGCAATCATTTCTTCTCCACTGTGCAGGGGATGTTATCATTTCATAGGTTTGGGAACTATGGAGAGATTCAAAAGGTTTCATGCCACATGGAATACAGCTCCATCTAGTTCTCGCTTAATTATGCTAATTGCGATCAGCATACCCATCATTATTAATGTAGTTGCTCTAATTAGGAGAAACTTAGGCCTCCACTAGCTAACTTGACTGATTTCTTCATTTGACACAATTTTGGGAATTGTGGCTGCTATTCTTTTTTTCATGTTCTTAAGAAAACAGTAACTGAATAAGAATGCTTTTAAGTACGTACATACTTTGCAAACAAGACCATTCACTTCACACATTGAATCAACTTGAAACAATGAGTTTTTCATTAGTTTTATAGGATCTTTGTTATTTTTATAAGGAGAGCAAGGGAATCTAATTAATATTATCAAGACAACATGTTGATATTATTAAGAAGTAATAAACAAACATACTCCCCCCCCCACAAATGTCAGTCGCTATTAGGCAAAATCAGAAACATTGTTATTTGCAAACATTGGGTTGCACTTTGTTA